TGGTTGAGCAGCTAGCCTAGCCAGCGATAAAACGTTGCTGATTTCGATTATTATAAAGTTTTGGAATCCATAACAACGAAGCCGCGTTTTGCATTAAATTGCATGTTTTATCAGCTTAAACAAACGCGACACCGTTTAGTAATTGCAGATAAAACACAGATATGCTTTAGCTAATGTCAGACTTATTGATCTGACTTGAAAAAGAAACTCATGCATATCATATCTCGAATACATATTTAAAAGTAATAACGATACTTTTTATCATTTGATTATTTCAACGAAACAACAAATTAAAGTTATAATAGCATTCTAGCTCAAATCTTTGCATTTTTCGTTCAATGACAGTATTTTACGATAAATTAATACTCTCCCTGAATTGGGGAAATACCCAACAGCACTTTGTATCATTAAAATAATACAAAAATTAAAGTAAACTGATACATGTTCTTGTTTTTTTCCTTCCTTTCACTTAAACCGCATGCCCAATTGCATTCTGAATTGGCCATAAGAACAAACACAATATTTGAGACTTTTATCATATAACAGAGAGAAGTTTTCCCGTTCAGTCTTTATTTAATACAAAGACGGAAGAGCTTGTTGATATTGTAATCGTTGAAATGCAATTCTGATGAATATCTTCACTCGTACTCTGTGCTCGGAAAATATTGCTTTTGTTCCGCTCGTAAAATGGCAACCAACCAAATCTTAACGCAAAACTATATTTCTTTCTCAAATCCACAGGAGAGACCTGCTACCAGCACATTGTGTGATGTGTGGTAAGGCCTCCAAGTCGGATACCGACACCAGCACTAAAGAAATTGATGTTTGTCAGTGCCCAAGCGTCACAAGTTGTAAGCAATGTAATGACGACAAATTATGCAAAGATGTAAAGAAAACGTCTTCCGGGAGCAGATCTACCTATAAGTGCACGGTTCATGGTCCATACAGGATGTACCAAGACTACCTCATCGACTTCAAGAACTGGTGTATTATATGGGTGGCCATCGCTATGATTCCCTTCGGACTCATCATATTTTCTAGTGGAATAGATCTGAATTGGACATTCTTTGTTGGCGCTATCGCCATTATCCCTGCCTTCCCTGCAGTTGCTCTAGCCGTTATGTGGGTGAAGCTAACATCAGAAGGAATAATAGCAGGTAAAATATATATTTAATTATCTAATAAGCATTCTCATCAAATTATTGCAAAAAAACATTTATGCTGGTATAAACTTCAAAAAGAAATCTGATTGCCCACAACTGAAAGTGACTAGAGGAACAATATAGGGTATCAAGATTGTTTTTGAACCTTCAACATTGCATAATTTTTTTATTTTTTTTTTGATTCTGAACATATTAATATCTGTTGCCTTTGAATATGGTATGTGTGTTTAATTTTCAAGTAAGAACCCTTGTTGCTTAATTATACGTGTACAAGAATATTTTTTTTTACCAATACTCGATTGCTTTTAAGGATTTGGGTTGGGGGTGGGGGCATATCAAAAGATCGATCCGATTAATGTTTTTACATTTTCGATACAGAAATGGATGATAATAAAAGATAAAAAATATATATTATGTTGCAGTGAGTTTGATGGTGTCGCCATTTTTCTCGTACAATGACATGATTGCAGTCTGTTTGTACGGTATAAATGTCACATTAAAAGTCAAAATTGGTAAAGTTGTTAGTGTAAATTGTAGGTAGGTAGCTAGTAAAACAGGACCGTCGACAGGTATAGCTGCCACACTAATAGTCAATATTGAGGAAGTGGTTAGTGTAAATTGAAGGTAGTATCATGAATTGTAAGTGGCTGGTTAAGCAAAAATGTTGCCTTTTATAGCTGCCACACCTTTAGTCACTATTGCTGATTTAACTTGTAATCGTAGGTGGTATAACAGGCCTGTTTGCCGGTATAGCTGCCACACTGATCGTTACTATTGCTGATTTAACTTGTAATTGTAGGTGGTATAACAGGCCTGTTTGCCGGTATAGCTGCCACACTGATCGTTACTATTGCTGATTCAACTTGTAATTGTAGGTGGTATAACAGGCCTGTTTGCCGGTATAGCTGCCACACTGATCGTTACTATTGCTGATTTAACTTGTAATTGTAGGTGGTATAACAGGCCTGTTTGCCGGTATAGCTGCCACACTGATCGTTACTATTGCTGATTCAACTTGTAATTGTAGGTGGTATAACAGGCCTGTTTGCCGGTATAGCTGCCACACTGATCGTTACTATTGCTGATTTAACTTGTAATTGTAGGTGGTATAACAGGCCTGTTTGCCGGTATAGCTGCCACACTGATCGTTACTATTGCTGATTTAACTTGTAATTGTAGGTGGTATAACAGGACTGTTGGCCGGTGTAGCAGCCACACTGATAGTCACTATTGCTGATTTAACTTGTAATTGTAGGTAGTATAACAGGCCTGTTGGCCGGTATATAGCAGCCACACCTTTAGTCACTATTGCTGATTTAACTTGTAATTGTAGGTGGTATAACAGGCCTGTTGGCCGGTATAGCTACCACACTGATCGTCACTATTGCTGATTTAACTTGTAATCGTAGGTGGTATAACAGGACTGTTGGCCGGTATAGCAGCCACACTGATCGTTACTATTGCTGATTTAACTTGTAATTGTAGATGGTATAACAGGCCTGTTGGCCGGTATAGCTACCACACTGATCGTTACTATTGCTGATTTAACTTGTAATTGTAGGGGGTATAACAGGACTGTTGGCCGGTATAGCAGCCACACTGATAGTTACTATTGCTGATTTAACTTGTAATTGTAGGTGGCATAACAGGCCTGTTGGCCGGTATAGCAGCCACACTGATAGTCACTATTCCTGATTTAACTTGTAATTGTAGGTGGTATAACAGGCCTGTTGGCCGGTATAGCAGTCACACTGACAGCAGCAAGCAGGTATGAAGGAGGTCTCAGCAACTTTACCATAAACACGTCACAGGATTTCTCGATTCTAGCAGGATGTTGTTTCAGTTTTGGTATCAGCCTAGCTGTATGTGTAGTGGTATCTGCGCTCACGCACAAGATCAAAGCCAAGGCCGACGCTGATGCGGAATGGCAGAAAATATACGGTATCGATAACCCACTAAATCCATGGGAACAGAATTATCGAGAGGAACTCAAGGGGCAGCAGTACGACAAGAAACCGTCATTTGATCAAATGGCAGCCGCCTTCCGTCGAGAGAAAAAGATCGCATACATAAGCGGGGGCAGCATCACTGTCTTATTCACTTTCATCATACCTGCCATCATGTTGAGCTTCCCTGTAATCGACGAGACTCAGTTTAAGACCTGGATAATGTTGACTCAGGCCTGGACCGTCTTTATGGGGATAATAGCGATTGTAGCGCCACCTGTCGAGGAATATTTGAAGATCCGGAAACAACGTCGTAAAAATAAGACATATGTGGTCGATACAACTGTGGCAGGCAATTCTAAAGTTATTGCAATAATGTAAAATATATAAATTAAAAAATCAAAGTATAAATAATTCATAAAGATCACTTTTTAATTGGTAAAATTACTCGAGGGCGCTTTACATTATGTTACATGGAAACATTTGTCTTCATAAAAGGACTGGTACTGCATTTACAGGAACTACCTAAAACGTAAACGTAGCAAGGATGTTTGACTTTTTAGTATCAGAAAGTTCACTATTCCACAAAGTTGCAACTATGTGTACCTTTCCGAAAAATCACACTACGCTATTTTGGAAGATATTACCGCAGTTTGAGTGAATTTCGATTGGAGCAGTAGGACTTGCAAATTTGGGACTGCCTAAATAAAACCTTAACTGGATAGTCTGCATTTGCTGATAATTGGTTCTGCCTATTTCTGATAAGTGTTTAACATGTTAGAGTTTATCCAAATATATAATATATATAAACAAAACATTTAACTGGTAAAATTGTACATGCATATCTACATAAAATGTCTTTAATGCAACACATGTCAAAATTCCTGCTTAACATAATTATATCTACTGTTTTCTAGCTAGTTATGTTTTCGGAAACCTGATTTTATTGGTCGAACTTATTTCGTTGTCCTTCCTCGGTACGACCTTATTTCCTTATATTACTGTATATATCTTACAAATGAAGTTCCGTAACAAACATACAACATTAGTTCAAAAATAAAACGTTGCATCATTGCACTTCTTTTACGAGGTATCCAACATCGACCATTTACTGTCGCATCCGAAGACTCCACGGCACAGGGAAGGTGTGAGACCGTCAACGAATCGGTCTTCAGCGTACATTTTTATGACAACTCGCCGACAGAAAAGTGATATGTGACATTTGATGAAGTACTAGTGTTTTTCGAGGAGTAATAAGCATGCTCTGCTTCATCGATATCCGCGATGTAAATCTAGGTCAAATCCGAAGCTAACGACAAGGCCTCGAATAGAGAACCGAAATAATGACAACGAAAAAAAACAAAGCACTAAAGTGAACTTAACCTTTCTTGAAAGTAACATCCCTGCTTTACCCCGTTTACATGTCGCAGTTGATTTGGTATGCAAATGGTTTCCACAGATGAGGGTTGATACTATGGGCAAGTTGATCGCCATCATGATGTCATAGAGAAATATGTTAATTCTCTTTTTCATATATATATGAAGGTCGATGTTTACTATTATGCTGACTAGTGTGTCTTGTTAATGGGATGCTCATGGTGTGGGGACGTGACATTACTTGGATTTTACATAGATTTAAACGGCGGTTGTTGTCAATGAAGCTGAGGCCGCTCAGCCTTTCGGAACACCCTGCACCCTGCACTTTTTCAACGGTCTCAATTTAAATCTTTTCCTTTGTTTATATGTTGCCATGGTTTCTCAATTTAAGTTTGAATTACGGTTATGTTGACACTTTGGCATTCTGTTGTTGTTATCATTTTACAGACATTATCAGGGTATACTTTGTACAAATGACAAGTTAATGTAACTGGCAAGGTGCCAGCATAGCAAGACCTGTAAAAGATTATGTAATAATACAATAAACAGAATCAATTGATAGAACAAATTTATATCAAATTATTGTTTACATATATTATTTCAATCTGCTGCCATTTTCCCATCTACTCCAAAATAAAGACTAAAGATATGCTTACAGCCTCGTTTTTCCAGGAACTCAAACAACTTTCCCAAGTCCATGTGATACTCTCTCCCTTTACCACCGCGGGCATCAAACACTTTTTCTTCAAAATTATCAAATTTATAATATTTCTTGATATCATTGTCTCCAATATCCTGGTCCTCTTTTTCCTTAATCACTAAGCGTTTCCAGTTTTGTCGTCGTAGTCGCTGCCAGTATTCCTCAACACTTCTGCTATATCCCTCTACACAGATGACACCCGGCTTCCCTGGCAGACTGAAGCCAGTCAGTTTGAGTTCCTGTGCCCAGTCAATGATGTCCCTGCGTTTGAATTTGCTATAGATATGGTGGCTATATATCCAAAGTCTTGCAAATATCGTGTCCACCTCTTTGACTGATGGAGCATCCTTCTTCTCGATAGTCACTAGATATTGGTCTACATTCTCTTGTAGCCATTCTATCACCGAGAAAATACAGATTTCACCACGCTCAATGCTGTTTATAAATTCACTTAAATCCTCATTCAATCGCTGGTGGTTTTCACGGTTCATGAGTGGAGACCTTGTGAACACAACGGGTGCTACATGTGGGTACTCATGTGGGAAGTTACAGACCAGCTCCACGCCAACCTGTAATAGACAGACAGTACACACATACAGTAAATCAATTCATAAGTGTTTACATTGTGTGAAATGTTTGTATTATCAGACCCCAGTTTCATGAACGTTCCCCAACTTGAAGGAGCTCCTCACAGAATGTAATTTTATAAGTTAAGGAACATAGTGTGTTAATATATGTTAGTTGTGTGACATATATAGGTGATGTGTGAATGAAATGTGTATGTTAAATACATGTGATATATATATTATGTAATGTGTTTGTGTAATGTATATATGTAATGTGTTTATGTAATGTATATTATGTAATGTGGTTTTACAGGTGATGTGTATAGAATGTGTATGTTCAATATGTGTACCATATGTACATGTATGTATCATATGTGTCATGTGTAAAATTTGTATGTGTGCGAGTGTAATGTATGTGTAATGTGTATGTGTAATGGTAATGTGTATGTGTAATGTGTATGTGTAATGTGTATGTCTAGCATTTATATAGATAATGCATATGTAATGTGTATGTGACATGTGTACTGTTAGTGTGATAAATGTTTAATGAACGTGTAAATACATGTTGGTAAGTTGACTATAGCATATGTCAAGAAACCAACAAGTCAACAGACAAACTGTGTATTTTCTAGTTTACTTCCTTTATTGTTGAAGGTGCATTTTCAAAAACTTCATTTATTAGGGGCATAACAAGTATTACTTAAGCATCCCCAAACCATGGTTATAAACACATTGGGTGTTTGATATGGAGAATACAGCATAAATAACCTGTTAATTATTTACTGTAGAAGTTTTGACATTAAAAGTGTTTCCATTCCATATTCCATATGAGATAAATGCATCATGTCGAGAAGTTTTCAGTTTAACAAGACTACTTATGTATTGAGAACTAAATGGAAAACTTTAGGACAAGTTTCATAAATCTCATACCAAATGGAATCCTTTTATAGCATTATCAGACAATGTGTGTAAATATTTGAAAAAAGGGTTAGCCAGCACTTAATTTTCAATGTAAATACATTGTATTATAAGTTACTCTCTTCTCTTTTTAATACCATGATAGCATACTTATTGTCTTAATAATGATGTCAAAAGGTCATATCACACGAGTTAAAATGATTTAATAGACACAGTGTCGCTACTGTTCTCAACTTAAAATAGCTTATTAACTCTGAAGAGAGATATTTTAATCTCATACAAATAAATAAATATATAAATTGTATTCAAATGTTGTTTTAGGAAGCATGCAATTTATGTATTTCAGTTTCATATAATCATATAAATAGAACATTGATAATTATGACAAAGTATTTCCACTGAAAGGAAGATAGAAAAATATGGGTGAAGGTTTCTATACTTCCATATCGTACAGTTCAAGGACCTCATCATCACATACCTTGCTGTCTGAGGACCTCATATATGGTACTGTATTGGCCGTGGACATTGATGTTACATATCTTACTGTTCGACAACTCATATACATATATATACAATATTTTCAATGGACCTACAATTATCACATACCTTACTGTACAAGCACCTTAATGTAACAAGCCTTAATGTACAAGGACCTTAATGTAACAAGCCTTAATGTACAAGGACCTTAATGTAACAAGCCTTAATGTACGAGGACCTTAATGTAACAAGCCTTAATGTAACAAGCCTTAATGTACAAGGACCTTAATGTAACAAGCCTTATTATCCAAAGACCTCAATGTAACAAGCCTTATTATCCAAAGACATTAATGTAACAAGCCTTACTATCCAAAGACATTAATGTAACAGGCCTTACTATCCAAAGACCTTAATGTAACAAGCCTTATTATCCAATTACCTTAAGGTCATTAATGTAACAAGCCTTATTATCCAAGGACCTTTCTGTAACAAGTCTTATTATCCAAAGACCTTAATGAAACAAGCCTTAATGTACAAGGACCTTAATGTAACAAGCCTTACTATCCAAAGACATTAATATAACAAGCCTTATTATCCAAGGCATTAATGTAACAAGCCTTAGTATCCAAAGACATTAATGTAACAAGCCTTATTATCCAAGGACCTTTATGACCTTAATGTAACAAGCCTTATTACCCAAGGACCTTAATGTAACAAGCCTTATTATCCAAGGACCTTAATGTTACAAGCTTCATTATTCAAAGACATTAATGTAACTAGCCTTACTATCCAAAGACCTTAATGTAACAAGCCTTTATGTAGGAGGACCTTAATGTAACAAGCCTTAATGTATGAGGACCTTAATGTAACAAGCTTTAATGTACAAGGACCTTAATGTAACAAGCCTTAATGTACAAGGACCTTTATGTAACAAGCCTTAATATCCAAAGACCTTAATGTAACAAGCCTAAATTATCCAAAAACATTAATGTGACAAGCCTTGTTATCCAAGGACCTTAATGTTACAAGCCTTAATGTACAAGGACCTTTATGTAACAAGCCTTAATATCCAAAGACCTTAATGTAACAAGCCTAAATTATCCAAAAACATTAATGTGACAAGCCTTATTATCCAAGGACCTTAATGTAACAAGCCTTATTATCCAAAGACATTAATGTAACAAGCCTTACTATCCAAAGACATTAATGTAACAAGCCTTAATACCCGAGGACCTTAATGAAACAAACCTTACTATCCAAAGACATTAATGTAACAAGCCTTATTATCCAAAGACCTTCATGTAACAAGCCTTACTTTCCAAAGACATTAATGTAACAAGCCTTATTATCTAAAGACATTAATGTAACAAGCCTTACTATCCAAAGACATTAATGTAACAAGCCTTATTATCCAAGGACCTTAATGACATTAATGTAACAAGCCTTATTATCCAAAGACATTAATATAACAAGCCCTGTTATCCAAGGACCTTAATGTAACAAGACTAATTATCCAAGGACCTTAATGTAACAAGCCTCATTATTCAAAGACATTAATGTAACTAGCCTTACTATCGAAATATCTTAATGTTACAAGCCTTAATGTAGGAGGAACTTAATGTAACAAGCCTTAATGTATGAGGACCTTAATGTAACAAGCCTTAATGTACAAGGACCTTAATATAACAAGCCTTATTATTCAAAGACATTAATGTAACAAGCCTTACTATCCAAAGACATTAATGTAACAAGCCTTACTATCCAAAGACCTTAATGTAACAAGCCTTATTATCCAAAGACATTAATGTACCAAGCCTTATTATCCAAAGACATTAATGTAACAAGCCTTATTATCCAAAAACATTAATGTAACAAGCCTTATTATCCAAATACCTTAATGTTACGAGCCTAAATGTAGGAGGACCTTAATGTAACAAGCCTTAATGTATGAGGACCTTAATGTAACAAGCCTTAATGTACAAGGACCTTAATATAACAAGCCTTATTATTCAAAGACATTAATGTAACAAGCCTTACTATCCAAAAACAATTATGTAACAAGCCTTACTATCCAAAGACATTAATGTAACAAGCCTTATTATACAAAAACATTAATGTAACAAGCCTTATTATCCAAAGACCTTAATGTAACAAGCCTTAATGTACAAAGACCTTAATGTAACAAGCCTTATTATCCAATTACCTTAAGGTCATTAATGTAACAAGCCTTATTATCCAAGGACCTATCTGTAACAAGCCTTATTATCCAAAGACCTTAATGTAACAATCCTTAATGTACAAGGACCTTAATGTAACAAGCCTTACTATCTAAAGACATTCATGTAACAAGCCTTATTATCCAAAGTAATTTATGTTACAAGCCTTATTATCCAAGGCATTAATGTAACAAGCCTTACTATCCAAAGACATTAATGTAATAAGCCTTATTATCCAAAACATTAATGTAACAAGCCTAATTATCTAAGGACCTTTCTGTAACAAGCCTTATTATCCAAAGACCCTAATGTAACAAGCCTTACTATCCAAAGACATTAATGTAACAAGCCTTATTATCCAAAGACATTAATGTAACAAGCTTTATTATCAAAATACATTAATGTAACAAGCCTTATCATCCAAAGATATTAATGTAACAAGCCTTATTATCCAAAGACATTAATGTAACAAGCCTTATTATTCAAAGACATTAATGTAACAAGCCTTATTATCCGAATACCTTAATGTAACAAGCCTTATAATTCAAAGACCTTAATGCAACAAGCATACTGAGTATTGCTAAAGCAATACATGTCCACTACCGGCCCCCGCTAGCTAGGTACCCTTTGGGATAAATTTAGGAAAATGAAAAGTATACAATTAGCTTGAAACTGATCCTAATGTAATAATAAAACAAGAAATTGTAATGTTAGTATTATTATAGAGGAGTTATATAAAACAACAGACCCAGAGGGCCTGTAAAGCTCACCTGAATATGTTTTAAATAATTGGTATGAAGTAAAGATATAGCACTCCATGGTAGGTGCTGTAAGTACATATGAAATTTCAGAAATATCCATCCAGTAGTTGAGACATAACAAATTTCAAACGGAGCCCCACCCCTATGCCCCCAGGGGGGGGGGGGTCATTCCTGCCGTTTATACAAAAAATTGAGTCCCCTTGGCCAAAGGATGCTCCAGACTAAATAAGGATAAAATCCCTTAATCACGATGGTCGAAGAAGGATTTTAAAGGTTTTACCTCTATTTCCCCTATAGGGCCCAGCCCCTCAGGTCCCAGGGGGGGCCACAGCCACCGGTTATACAAAATTGGTTCCCCTTTACCCAAGGATGCTTCACACCAAATATGGACCAAACCTTTTCATTTCTACAGAAGAAGGATTTTAAAGAATAATTTGCTATGTTTCCCCTATTGGGCCCCGCCCCTCAGGCCCCTGGGGGGTCAGCCCCATGGTTTATACAAAATTGGTACTCCTTCACCCAAGGATGCTTCAGACTAAATATGGAATAAATCCTGTCATTCCTACAGAAGAAGAAGGATTTTTAAGAATTTGCTATATTTCCCATATTGGGCCCGCCCCTCAGCCCCCAAGGGGACCAGACCCACCGTTTATACAAAATTGGTTTCCCTTAACGAAAGTATGCTCAACACCAAATATGGACCAAATCCTGTCATTCCTACAGAAGTAGAAGGATTTTAAAGAATAATTTGCTATGTTCCCCTATTGGGCCCTTGGGGGGGGCCAAACCCACGGTTTATACAAAACTGAGTCCCCTTGACAAAAGGATGCTCCAGACTTAATAAAGATAAAATTCCTTAATCCCTAGGGTAGGAGAAGGATTTTGAAGGTTTTACCTCTATTTCCCCTGTTCGGTCCTGGCCCTCTGCCCCAAGGGAGGCCACACCCACCATTTATACAAAATAGAGTCCCCTTGGCCCAAGGATGCTCAGGACTAAATTAGGATAAAATCCCTTAATCCCTACGGTAGGAGAAAGATTTTGAAGGTTTTACCTATTTCCCTTATTCGGCCCCAAGGATGCTCCAGACTAAATTAGGATAAAATCCCTTAATCCCTACGGTAGAAGAAGGATTTTGAAGGTTTTACCTCTATTTCCCCTATTGAGCCCCGCCCCTCTGCCCCCAGGGGGCCCACACCCACCATTTATACAAAATTGAGTCCCCTTGGCCTAAGGATGCTCCAGACCAAATTTAGTCAAAAAGTACTTGGCCGTTCAGGACAAGTAGCGTTTTAAAGGAAAAGTTTACGGAAGGACGGACTGACAACAGACGACGGACGCTGTGGTATGGCATAAGCTCACCATGGTCTGTCGGACCAGGTGAGGTAATAAAATGATTGACAACCCTGAAACTTGAATTTTCCGAGATATTATGGTCCTTTGTAATTGTGTGAAGTTTGATCAAAATCCCTCAAAGAATGAAGCAGCTAGAGCACTGACAAGAATTTTCTAAAAATAGCAACAGTGACCTTGACCTTGACCAAACAACCCTGAAACTTGAACTTGTCTGAGATATTATGGTCCTTTATAATTGTTGAAGCTGCTAGAGCGTTGACAAGGATTTTCTAAAAATAGTAATAGTGACCTTGACCTTGACCCAACAATCCTGAAACTTGTATGAGATATTATGGTCCTTAGTAATTGTGTGAAGTTTGATCGAAATCCCTAAAGAAATGAAGCTGCTAGAGCGCTGACAATGAATTTTCTAAAAATAGTAACAGTGACCTTGACCCAATAGCCCTGAAACTCGAACTTGTCTGAGATATTATGGTCCTTTGTAATTGTGTAAAGTTTGATCCAAATCCTTCAGGGAATGAAGGCGCAAGGTAATGATTTTCTAAAAATAGCAACGGTGACCTTGACCTTGACCCGACAACCCTGAAACCCGTCAGAGGACACTGATGTTACATACCTTACTATTAGAGGACACTGATGTCACATAACTTACTGTCAGAGGACACTGATGTCACATACCTTACTGTCAGAGGACACTGATATCACATACCTTACTGTCAGAGGACACTGATGTCACATACCTTACTGTCAAAGGACACTGATGTCTGATACCTTACTGTCAGAGGACACTGATGTCACATACCTTACTGTCAGAGGACACTGATGTCACTTACCTTACTGTCAAAGGACACTGATATCACATACCTTACTGTCAGAGGACACTGATATCACATACCTTACTGTCTGAGGACACTGATGTCACATACCTTACTGTCAAAGGACAGTGATGTCACATACCTTACTGTCAGAGGGCACTGATGTCACATACCTTACTGTCAGAGGACACTGATGTCACATACCTTACTGTCAGAGGACACTGATGTCACTTACCTTACTGTCAGAGGAGACTGATGTATCATACCTTACTGTCAGAGGGCACTGATGTCACAAACTTTACTGTCAAAGGACACTGATGTCACATACCTTACTGTCAGAGGACAGTGATGTCACATACCTTACTGTCTGAGGGCACTGATGTCACATACCTTACTGTCAGAGGACACTGATGTCACATACCTTACTGTCAGAGGACACTGATGCCACATACCTTACTGTCTGATGACACTGATGTCACATACCTTACTGTCTGAAGACACTGATGTCACATTAATGGAGAAGCCCACTCTTTTGTGTAAGTACTCGTACAGCATTTTGCCATCCAGAAAACTCCTGATGGCTGCCACAGTGCAGGGGTCATCCATTTTGAATTCTTCTTTGCTGGGGAACATACTAGTGAGCATTTCTACCTCTGAGAGTTGCAGCTCCAACATGTCACTGACATCGACATCGTTATCCTCATCATATCCCAAGTCATCCATTTTCTTGTTGAAGTTTCCTTTAAAAGATTTTTTGTTTTCTTATGGGAACTTAATGGACATTTATAATAATATTCAAACATAAAAAATACATTATTCATATATTATAGTAAATCAATAAAGCTTCATCGTGTTAGATACCTATAAAGTATGAACAACATCAATGATACAATGAAGAATGATCGTTAAAAGTCGTGAACAAATGTAGGGGAACTGGACTGGGTTATTCGTCAGTGAGTAGGTAGCTTAATTGGTAGAGCATACATCTAGAATACGGAGGGTCATGAGTTTGAATCCTGGTCTGGCTGTGCATTTTTCCACATCTATTATAAAAATAATGCTTGTGACCAACCCGTGTTTCAGATGCTGGGCGATTGCTTGGAAGGGGATACCTGAACCTGAGTTGTAAATACCATTGTCTCGGAGGGCTGGGGGAAGACTGAAAAAAAGGAGGGAGAAAAGTAGCGAAACTGGACTGGGTCATTTATCGGCGACCAGGTAGCTCAATTGGTAGACCAGAATTATTTTCCGATGTACCGTTTAGCGATTACTTAATCGGTTGTTTTAAATCTTCATCAAAACTTTCTTCTAGAAGAAAGATTTGCAATGCATTTACACTTGAAACTTTTGAAAATAATTTTATTTGTTCATAAAAATATTTTCGAGGCTATGATTTCCATCAGAACTGAGACTTGTGTCAAGTTGACACAATTCAATATCTTAATTATATGATTCATGTCATATAGATAAAAAGATTTTCAGAATAAAAAATGTACAGTAGAATAAGTACTGATAATCATTAATTAGACATTATAATGGTTAATCAGGTCAATTAAGGTCCAGTTGCTAATTATTACTAATTACCAAAGTCTAGCTGCATGATTGATTTAGTATTTATCCTGCATTAACTCATTCACCCCTGAAATTTCATAATGAACTATTCCAACCTTTGAATATGAAGAGTTCAAATGTGTCTTCAGGGATGAATGAGTTAATTACAATGTAGGCCAATTTTTTTTAAATGGTCAAACACATAATTAATCGACTCTGGGAGTGGGCTTAAATATGTATGACAGGATGATGAAAAACAAGTTTTTTACATTTCTATTGAACTAAATAGATCTTAGGGTGATATTGTTACCAGACATGGCCTTGATTTCCGGATAACAATGTTATCATCACTAATGATCTGATCACAGGGCCACGTTACAATCACACATATGCTATACTGATACGGGTCACAACACACATAAACATGTGTGTTGTGACCCGTATCAGTATAGCATATGTGTGATTGTAACGTGGCCCTGTGATCTGATGATGATCCTCATTGATACCTACCTATGTAGTGCTATCGTCGATAAAACATATTTTATCCTTTGAAGTTTCCTTTATAATAACATTGAACATCAATAATACAACCAGTATACTGCCACATGTACACAATAGTGGGTTTTAAGGGTACCAGGGAGGAGATGCAAATTAATTACTTTGCTAAGATAAGATAAATTTTATTTAAAGTCGATGGGCATTTTAAAAACAAATAACATAAGCTCTATAGAGGTTCTGACCGACATACATGTTGCATACAAAGACATTCACACTTGGTTTTATATATTAATATTTAAGCAATACAAATTAACAGACAAATAATACAAGATAAAACACTTCAGATTTCATATTTATGCCAATTTGATATTCATCTGTCAAGCAACATTGTGTGTGTACTCCTATCCCAAACTGTCTCGTTTTCGCGACATTACTCTTTATATATATTGGACGCACTTCATCTGTACTTTCACTTTCTTCAGTAGACTACATTATGTAGGTAGAAATTGTGGATTACTCCAGCTACTAGAAATCTGCTCAACCCAAAGTTGTTGGTTAAATGCTATATATACATACTGTACAGATATGAACACGAACCTAGATCCAGTGGAATCAGCATGGACTCTGGAGTCAGGTGTTGCCACGGGACAGATCTCTACACCTGTCAACTATCAAATATTCACATTCTTATGATGTAACACCACGATGTGAAAACATGATATGCGAGGCAACGTACGTATACGTAGTGACCAAGGGGAGGCCACTCTACTTTATAATAAATGCTGCTCATGACATTCTAGAACCACATCATGAGACTGACGGCGGTTTGCAACAAATGTCAACAACTTAGTATCTTTATGCTCACATTCCAAAACACACTGCTAAATTGGATTAGTTATAGTACATATGATTAAGGTGGCAGTACCCAAATCGGATCGGTACCCAAATCGGATCACTTTTTGCAAAAATACTTATAAATAAATAAATGTGTTAAAAAATCAGTTATAACAATGATGTAGTCTTAGAATAGATAGCCATGCACCATTTTTTTGTCTACAGATAATTAGTTTCTAAGTTCAAATAGCGCAAGAAAACGTAATTGAAACTCAAATGTCAATATTTTTATTACGTTTTTAAAAAATGGCGCGTGCGACGACTATGCACTTTGTTTTGGACTATAGGAATAATTTCACACTATAGGCTAGAAATACTTTTTGTCATATAAATTCTAAATTTCATTATAAAATGTTAATATGCTGACAAAAAAAATATTCATTTGAATCGTACAATACTGTAAAATGTAAGCCTTGGTCCGTTTTGGGTCCCGACATTCGTAAAAACCGGAGACGCTGCATGATTGGTGACTTCAGAGCGTTCTATAAATATCTCAAGTGAGCCCCGGGTTCTAATTCCGTTTGTAAGAACACTCATCGATATTCTTTTTTTGATACAACTATAAATGAATATAATTCCTCCTCAGATTTTTCAATGATTTAAAAAAATGATGGTTTGATGATCCGATTTGGGTACTGTCACCTTAGATACATTTCCCTTTTGCCAAAAAAGAAATTAAGACAGATTAATAGAATCTTCCCTTCCTTGAGGGTGTAACAGAGAAATCTCCAACCCGAGGGTGATGCTTTTTGGTTGTCTAACCCGAGGTTTTCCCGAGGGTTAGACTACCAAAAAAAAATCACCCCGAGGGTTGGAGATTTCTCTGTTACACCCTCAAGGTAGGGTATGATTCTTTTTCACAATTGAACACGTGCTAAACGGCACGAGGCTATCTCCCCCTAGGGGGTGACTAATAGAGTCTTCCCCTACCTTAGCCGGGAAAGATCAGCTTTTCTCTTACCCTGGACAGGTGTATCCGCACTTTTACCGGTGTGATTTCCTTGTCTCACCCTAGGGTTGAGACGGGAGGATTCCCCTATTCATAACAATGGTATGACGTCACTTCAGCAATACAATGACGTCACGTCAACAATCCATCAACGTCACGTCAACCCTGACTTAAGCATGTAACATTAGCATTACATTGTGTCTATGATACCCATTGGGAGAACAGGATAAGAGAAAAAGAATCATTCAACCCTTTGTGGGTAAGATAGAGGAATCTCAACCCTCGGGGAAAGATTCTTAAGTTGCCAAACACTCGGCAAAGCCTCGTGTTTGGCAATATAAGAATCTTCCCCCTCGGGTTGAGATCCCCCTATCTCACCTCCAAGGGGGTGAAAGATTCTATTATTCTCCCACCCTTCACAGGTGTGTCTCCCGTTTTAGCCGGGAAAGATTAGCTTGTCACCCCCTAGGGGGAAATAGCCTCGCGCCGATTAGCACGTGTTCGATTGTGACGTCATTAAAATGCGTCATTGGTAATTGTGACGTCATCAAACGTGAATGACGATGTTTATACCCCACATGTGTTTTTGTTTAAATAATCAACCCCTACCTTCAGGGTGTAACAGAGAAATCTCCAACCTGAGGGGTGATTTTTTTGGTTGTCTAACCACAATTAAACACGTGCTAATTACAGAGCCTCGGGTTAGACAACCAAAAAACATCACCCCTCTCGGGTTGGAGATTTCTCTGTTACAATTCAATTTATTACCAAATGCACATTGCATATAGGCGTACAGAAATATACATATAGATAAATACTTTACAAATATCTTGTACAATGGCGGAGAACATATGCAATAGATTCAATTCCATACATACTATTTACAAAATATGAAATTGGCATAAGTTTGGGAAAACTTTAAGGTTTTCTTATGAAGCATAATTTAGTTGCATAATTTAGTCGTTTAGGAAATAATTCAAATAAAGCCTTAATCTAACCAAAGGGCCTGTTTCCAGAAATGTTAATTCTCCATAGGAGCCTGCCCCCGTATAATTTCTTATCTAGCTCAACTACTGTTTTTTTCTTTTCCGAAGAATAATTTTACACCTTTCCGACACCCAGATTTCATAATTTCAGTGAAAATGTATTTTTATAAAGTTGTCAATTTCAGCATCAAAGACATAAGTTCGTAAATAAAAGAAGGTTATCTCGAAATTGTAATTCGCAACATAGTATAAATTTCTTTTGATAAATATTTCCAAAACATCGTGTTTATTCATAAAACATAAAAAAAAATATTTTCGGATGAAAATGCACTTGCAGAGACACAATTATGAAGAAAAATGCCATAAAATTGCAATTTTCTCCCGTTATATAGTTTTGGATGCAAATTTCCATCAGAAAATCGGATAGAGCTTTACTTGTTTCATATGTGTACCAAAAATCAGCTAATTCCATGTGGTGGAACGTTCTCATATCGCCGCCTGAATGTGGTTGTAAATTGAAAGAAAAGGGGAAATGAGTAACAACCTTGTCTGAAACCCTATTATATAGCTTATTATATACAAACTTTTATATTGAATATCAGAGCGGATATTTTCATGACAGTTTTATGATGTGTAACGACTAAATAAACAGTATCGATATAAAGATTTACACTGAGGACACCCTGATACATGAATACTGTTCTATCTCAAGTTGTCCTCTTCTGAATTTTCTGATCGTGTGGCCTTGTACATTTATCCGTATCTTCTTGTCTTTGTCTATACGTTTACGGAATCATTGACTCGACGCTAGCTATTCTTGTCTCACTTTCCTTGTTTTATTGTCCCATCTCCAAAGCGTTGTGGCTCTGTCAGGGTTGGGACCCTGACTTGTCTCACTTTCTTTGTGCCTGCCGACCACGCCACATCGAATAGATAGATTATCCATATGAAATACTTTATTTTGTTCTAAGTAATCAATCAATTCTGCGCTTCTTGGAGGTATTGAATGTGATTTATTATATTGTCTTGTTATTTTGTGTAATTAGTTGTTCGTTATTTATCACACATTTTCGCATAATTGTACCAAACTACTAAGTATTAGCTGTTTACAGCAATCATCGGTGGCTTGCTATTTTGTTACTTTATCGACGCTTCATAAACCAATCGTTATTGTTTCAAGATGGAGGGTAAATGTGTTGGAGAAGGGTGTCAAGTATACTTCAAGAAACGTAGTGGCAATAAGAACAGAAGTGCACGCAATGTAAATAGTCCACAATATAAATGGCTCCTAGATACGCTGGTGCAACAAGGATTGATGTCAGCAAAGGAACAAGCACTTATTTGCCAGAAGTGCTACATGAAGTATCTTCGGAACAAAAATCAGCCTGAACCTGAACCCGAGCAGAACCAGGAAATAGAGGAAGAAGACGACTCCCCGTCCCATATCCTGCCGTTGCTGACCCTTCATGATCTTTTGAATGGATCATCTTCACACAAAAAATGCTGTCTCTGTCTTGTTACCTTTGCAAGAAATGGAACAAAATCATCAGTCTTACCAAAACGTGCAAGACATCACCTGATCTATTCACACAAACTGTGGTGTCCCACCTCATCCCGCGTCTGCTCCATTCACCTTATTGGTAACGACTTAGATCCGTCTACAGAGGTTGTCCTTGATGGTAGAGGTTCCTTGGAATCTCAGTTACCATCAAAATCGTCCGAAATCATTAATGACCTCCTAGAGGTGTCGCACGTCCTTTCACAGAACCAGTCTGCGTTTACAATAAGCTTTTCTTCTCTTGATGACTCGGCATGCATGGCCTGGACAGGTTGGTCCAAAGATCAGTTCCTCGAAATCCACTCGCACTGTTCCCCATATCTTTCATCTGGTATATATACCAAGACTACACACGATGCTCTATTACTGTTCTGGGTAAAACTGAAAACCGACATTTCCTGGAGTCAGTGTTCTTCTCTTTTTGGAATTTCCAAGTCAAGTGTGTCCAAAACTTTCCACTCCATAGTACAGGCATTAGACACATCGATAGTCCCACAATTTCTAGGTCCGGATCACTTGACAAGAGAACAGTTGCTCGGGCACAATACTGTCTTTTCAGAAGCATTTTTTGGAGATAAAGCCACTGCCATATTAGATGGCACCTATATTTATATCCAGAAAAGCTCCGACCACAAGCTCCAGAGAATGTCCTACTGTGGCCAGAAGAAGAGAAACTATCTCAAATTCATGAGCATCGCCTTACCAGATGGCTACATTCTGGACACAGTAGGACCATTCACTGGCAGCGAAAATGATGCTACAATTACAAAAAAAGTCATGGACAAGCTAGTTACTTGGCTACAACCAGACGACAACGTTGTCGTTGACCGAGGTTTTAGAGATGTCCTACCAGTTCTCGAAGCCTCTGGCCTCAATGCTAGCATGCCGTCATACCTGAAACCCGGTCAAAGTCAACATTCTGACGTCCAAGCAAATCTTGACAGAACTATCACCAAATCGAGGTGGATTGTGGAATCCTATCATGGTCGTCTGAAACACTGGACGTTCTTCCGAACGCAATTGGTGTCTAACAGCTTTATCAATGTCATCGAGGCTTTGCTTCGAACCGTCACAGCCTGTCTGAATGGTATTAGAGGACCGATCTACCAGAGATCTCCAGAGAGAGATGCCAAAGATAGGCTAATGGCTGAACGTATGAAGGACCGTTTGACAACACCGAATGGTTTAGCTCAGAGAGTCAAGACAGATCCGGATCTATCTAGACGGGCAAGGTCCGAGTTTGTCAAGATGGATGCATCTTCCGTACTGTTTCCCCGTCTCGATCTTGATTACTTGAGAACCATTACGTGTGGAACGTATCAGATATCTCTGGCTCCTGGTTACATCGCCGAACATTTAAGTG